GAGGGAAAAGGGAGGGGGAAGAGAGAGAAAAACACATCGTTGTCAAGGCTGCGCAACAGCATCACCTCCGGTTGAGAAGCACGCTCGGTCGTTCCTTCTTCCGACAGGTGCATGTGTAGCATCTCTTCGAAACTGAAAGCAGCGTCCATGCTTGCACTACCGTATCCTTTTTGAACCGATCCACACGGTGAGTACGGGAGTACACTCAACCGAGATCCCAAAAGGAATCAGGGAGCAGGACAAAGCTATGGTAGCCGAGGCAGCAAGAGAAATCCTTGGAAATGACGAGCTAAGTACGGCCGATACTTTGCACGAGACAGAGGCGACAGCAGAGACAGCTGCAGGATGACCACTCGTCATAGCCGCGGCATAGACCGTACGCAACTGGGTATGTAGTGTCGGGAGCGACTATACAAGCGAACATCCTCAGAGCGAGAGGCCCGTTCGTATAGACGCCTCCGACAATCCGGTAGAGGAGGATTAGTACGAGGCTAATCACTTGTTTTGAGTACTGCCATAATCCTCATCGGATTCTGCGGGAAGGGACGTACGGGTATTAGCATGGTAGAACCTTCTACGCGCCTGGGGGAGCCTATTTTTACCAAACGCATAGGTTAGGGAGGGCCCGTTAACTGTGGACAAAACTTTTTTTCTATGAGAGGCCCAAATCTACTATCTTAGGCTACGTTAAAGCACAAACCCAAAACTATCACCCCCACATAGTAATCCATTACTCAGCACCAGACTGAGGACCAGGGGCCGTTCAAAACAACTTTTTTTCACATATTTTAAATATGCAGTTAATTCGCTTCTCGAGCAGAGTTCAAGCCCGATTACCACATAGCTTCGTATTCACTCAGTCAGGAGAGCAGAGCAGAAAATATGTATATAATTATTTAATCAGCCGAACTCTCTGGGCTTATTACCAGATTGTTACTCTGTGTGTGTGTGTGTGTGTGTGTGTGTGTGTGTGTGTGTGTGTGTGTGTGTGTGTGTGTGTGTGTGTGTGTGTTGTCATTTTTGCTATACACAGAAAAAGCATGACTGTACCAGACTGTTTTGTNCCTATATGGAAAGTGAGCTCAGCCTCTGCTGCCTCTGGGCCTGGCTGGGCGAGCATCCAGTAGCTTCCAGTCGGGCCTCAGTGCCTGCGTGCAGGCCCAGTTGCAGTTACGGGCTGGGCCGTTTACAGTTGGGCATGTCCAGGCATTCCACGGACCTCCACATGTTCGCTGTGATCTCATTGGCTCACGGCCACTTTGTGCCGGCAATGCTGCAATCTCATTGGTCCGTGGCTGTTGTATGATGTGTCGGCCTCTGAAAAAACATGCCCAGGGCCTTAACTGTATGGGGCCCTGGCTCTGTCTCTTATACACATCTAGATGTGTATAAGAGACAGGTGTGGAGATGTGTGTGTGTGTTGTCATATTCGCTATACACAAAAAAAGCATGACTGTACCAGAGTGTTTTGTGTGTGTGTGTGTGTGTGTGTGTGTGTGTGTGTGTGTGTGTGTGTGTGTGTGTGTACCAGACTGTTTTGTCGGACGTTCACCAACTCGTCAGGAGGTTGAACCCCGACAGTCAGTCTGCCCAGGATTCATTTGACTGATGGATAAGGACTCTCACCACATCGCCCTGAGTTAGCAATACCCATCCCTGAGAGAGAAAAGTGGTCGGCTTTACTCAGTCTCACACCAACCTTGCAATCCTAGCAGACTTGTCAAGGGCCCAAACCCCTGACAAGAACGGTAGCAAGTCTGAGAAATGTCCACCAAAGAGAAAAGTGGAAGTTAAGCATATAGTAGAGTAGCAAAGTCGAACTCGAGTGAAGTGGCGACGGCTAGAAGAGTCGAAGTCGATAGTAGGCCAGGTGCAGAGTGTGGGGCCACTAGCTGCAGGCAACCTGTGTGGTTTACAGGCCCGAAATTGGTCGTGCGCAGTACTGGCAAAAACTGGCTGAGCTCGGCACCGGGCCAGGCCAGTGCCGCAAGCGATCGGCCCAGCACGGCCGTTTGCTTCCGAAACGAGCAGCACGGATCAACACACAATCTGGGCTGTGCAGTACAACGCCAACAATGGTCCAGATTCAAGGTTGCAAAAACCATCAGCCGCCAATCACCACCATCATGCAACAATGAAACGAAGGGTCTGGATTGTCAGTTGGTCACTGGCTGCGAAATGGCAACAACTGTTATTATCTACTGTCTTCACCCGAGTAGAATGCTCGGTCAGTATCACTCTATCTAGACTGGAAGTTGCACCAAATACAGCTATAATGACCGGGCGTTCTATTCGGGTGAAGACGATAGTGATTGATGTGTGCTGCAGAACTACACACATGCATCCAAGATCAAGCGGCAAGAGGAAGGCCGGCAGCTGAGTGCTGCATAGAAAGCGGCGACAGTCATGTCCAACCTAGCGCCTGCGTCTGAGTCAGCTACCGTCTTCCCCCAAATAAAATGGACCGTCATTCTGCCTGCATTTGGCCAACAATTTCAGTCCAGATGCGTCGAAAATGACAGTACGTTCTACTCGGGTGAAGAAGACAGTAGCTGGAAGAACTGTCTTCCAGAAACTAGACCTGATCCGATCTGGCACAAGCATCCGATCAGAGCTATACCTGAGTCAGCAAATACATATTTATCATAATTTATGTGAGAAACAAGACCTGAAGACACCAAGCACCACCCTTATGAACTCCATTGACCACACACTGAAGCAGACGGGGCCATGTAGGATGCCTGGAAAGAACAGCGACTTCGTTATATCCCCCCCCACACAATCATTCCCACCACATTTCCGCTCGCTGATCAAATCCAAATCTTCACGTAAAGTTGTATCCTCCTGTCATTGATCTGCTATTGATGAAACGAACCCAAGCACTCCGCGGATTCTGTGCCGTCCATTTCCGAAACTCCGCGGATTCTGTGCCGTCCATTTCCGAAACTCCGCGGAATCTGTGCCGTCCATTTCCGAAACTTGGAGCTTCGCTGCAGACCAACTCAACGGGCCTTTCGTAAAGAACAAGCCAATCAAACAAAACCGGTGTCTAGCCCATGCCCGGCAAAATCACTGCAGCTGTGTAGCTGCCACCACCAGCTCTCATCCATCCTTTTTTTTTTTTTTTTTCTATAGAAGGTTGTGCAGGCTGAGGTATAGGCAGGCCCTCCCCTGATGGGCATTGCTATAATCACACTTCCACGACACACCCAGGGCAGAGC